GAATTATTATTATTAACAAACCGATGTCGCATATCTCCCGTTTTCTGAAATGTCGCGTGGGAGCGACATGAGATCAATATATTGATCGACACTTGAAGGGTTTGGTGCATTAACATCTGGTGTCAAAAAAATCCTGACTCTAGGAAAACTATTAAACCTTGATTGTTGATTACAACCTGGGTGAGTATTCAATTAAAGTGTCTTTGTCACAAAAACAAGCCTGTTCGCGTGGGTCTATATCTCTTTGAGGTCCCTACAATTGCACCTAATACAAAGGTTAATATATGCCGGATGCCCGACATTTAGAAATGTTGAGACCAGCGAACTAAACGCGTGTACTTTTCTTTTAATATCATCGAAGAATCTGCAATGTCTATAATCACTGATATACGCGGCCAACGAAAAACGTTCACAGAAAGAGCTATTATGGATATGATATGCTCGCCCCAGGACAAGTAGCTTAACTCTTTTTCCTTAAAAGTTTTTGTGGTCACTCAACCTTTGATGGAATTGCTACTCAAATTTAACCATTTTTTGGAAATTGTTTTGACATTTGAAACTTGGCAACAATGCACACATCTGAGACCCTTCACTGATTTTTTTTAATTAAAAAATCACGAAGAGCAGCTACTGCGTTGAGAAAGTTGGGAGGCTACAATCTTTTATAGAATTGTCTATTTGAAAAATAGAAGCCTCATGTGGTCTTCTGTCAATTTTTTTTTGTGGTGTTCTAAAATCCAGCATGTATTTTCCAAATGATAAAGGCAATAGACCTTTATGAATAATGATTTTTTTAAATCTATATCTAGATTAACTAGAATGATCTTTGGAATTATAACCATTGTAGAATATCAAAGTTTATGAATTAAATACATGCCGACAGAATTTTCAAAATGATTCCATTTGCCAATGATGCGTTCTGACTGACTAAAGTTGAAATTCCTTTTTTATCATTGAAACCAATGTGAACAGGCAGATGCAAAACTGTTCACTAGCATCTGGAAAACAAATTGTCTGAACCCCAAACAGGATTCGATGTCATTATAAAAATCATTGTCAATCATTCAAATGAAAATATTTCTCCCGACCGTGGCTCCAAGATTATAAAAAACGTACAATAAAAATAAAGCCTAAAAAGCAAAATAAATAATAAAAAGGCGTGAACGCCAATATCGTCCAACCCCCTTCAAATATATCAAACTGATACAAATTTGGAAAAGACCATTTAACATGAAATGGAGGGTTATGTATTTTTTATTCAAAATGTTGACCATTAAAAACTCTGATAAAAGATGCAAAAATATTGTTGTAATTTTTTGACATACGAATGTTGTAAGATACTGAAAAAATCTGTTTGCACATCAACGAAATAACACTTTAAAAACCCCATTGAAAACTACTTATTGTTTAAAAAAGACCAAAATCCAAATTCAGGATTTTTTTTTTCTTAACCCTAATTTCATTCTGAGATAAAAATTTATCATGGTTATATTCTGATTAGCGTCAATATTATTTTGATATACCCCTACAAGTGTATCTGCATGCTATAAGTGTCTGTCAGTTATTGTAAATTTCTTTAAGAGTAGCATATGACAGCAAATGATCTGTCCTTACTTTTACTTAAACTATCTTATTTTGGTGTAGAAATTCAATTATATAAAAGGAGGTAACTTTTGTTTGAGAAGACTGTACTGAAAGTTTATCTGTATTATTATTTAGAAGGGAAAAAAGGATTCTGTTATCCCATTTAGTTCATTTTCAACTTTTAATGATTTAAATTTAATAAAACCTTTCTTTTCTTTGTTTATTTCAAAATTCTATCATTCAGTTTTCTTTCTAATTACATAATAGTGCCTTTTATGTGTAAAATACTTACAAAAATAGAAGAATAAAGACTGAAGCTTGAATAAAGTACGGTGACCGATTACTTCTAATTATATAATTGAGAATATTACTAAACGTTGGCAAAGTGTATGTTTTATTATTGCTTATACCGGACCTTGATTGAAATAGTGTATACCCTTTACCTCTTTATGCCCCTCATTATTCTCGTTTTGCTAGGTTAAGTAATTAAATTCCCCTGCAATTATGATGTTTTGTGACCTATACGGTTTTAACAAACGGAATTCCAACAGTTAACATGTGTTACGACCTTATCTAGATTAAAATATATGTATAATTATGTAATGTGCTTTGTAGTAGTTTCTACACACCCAATTATGCCTCTTATAGGACCTTGATCGAACAAGGAAAATATTCTGAACTTTTACGAAAAGAAACTATGGGATTAATTTTAAAAGTTTATAGTGTGAATGCACAATTCATGTAAAACATTTAACCATGAAGTTCTATATTGATCTAATAAAACTAGATGAGAATTAGCAGTTGTAGCCAGAAAGCCTGCATTTCAAAAAAAATTTTGATTCGAAGATTTATAAAATTGAAACGATACGAGTAATATAGAGTTATAAAAAATGTGTTCTTTTCCTCATCAAACTGTTATGTATAAATATTTCCGGCCTATCTTGTCATATGTAGACTCTACCGAAAAAAACTTATTGACAATTGGTATACATATAAATGTATGAATACCGATTTCGTGTGTCTAAGATCAAGAGTGCCCGAAAACAAATGTTTGTTAAGCCAAACAACTGAAATGTGATGAAGCAAAACAATCAATAGTACCCAAACATAACAGTCCAAATAATCTATGCCAAAATCAACCTTGCATGGGGGAGTTGTAACGTTAGATTTAGTACAAAACTGCAAATTGTCATATAAATCATGCTGCTAGTACAGAGTAACTCCACAGGAACCTGTATCGATGGTAGAAGCATGTATGATAGTATTGCCAGTGAGCATAGACAAATCAGATGCATGTTCGACCAAAAAGTTCGGAAGGAAAGTAAATAAAACGTATGAGAGCATCATAAGAAAAATAAAGTGATTGAAACACGTATCATTAAAACAAGACAAATAAAAAATGTAAATGATTCATTGATTTTTGTTCCTATAGATGCGATTGGCAAATAGTTCATAAATTTTTAAGACGAGTACAAATTGATAAACACCATAGGCGGGGTCTAAAGAATTGGGACGGGACGGGAAATTTGGTCTTTCAGTGCAAACAGAAGGGATGTTGGATATGGGAAGAGTTGTTGCAAGGGTTCTTTAATGTGAAGAGAAAGTTCGTAACACTACACAGGGCCTCTCCATTCAGACCACAGAAGTGGCAGCGTTTTTCACCATCCCGAACAGCCAAACCTACGACCCCCTCAGCAGGTGTCATACTGTCTGACGGAAGCAGTCGATACATATATTTTGGCATTGCACAATGTCATATTTTTCTCGGACTGTTAATGACGTCTTTACACTAAGTCCATTGGATGTTGGATGTGTGCTGATTGCCATGTTAGTCTTAGATACATGATTTTTATAAGTTATTATTGGCTTTGAACTAGCTTTCATTAACTGCGAGTACTCTCAGATATGTACTTTGTGTCTTTGGTGTTTTTGTTAGAGATTTTTTTTGCGCTTTATATCAATCTGATGAGTTAAGCCCTTTTCAACTGATTTGTATAGTTTGTTCTGATTTTAACAGAACTGTTACAACCCTGTCAAGAGTTGAGGGGAGGTTTTTTTTTGTGCTAGCAATCATGTTTAATCCCGCCATATTCTGTATGTGCCTGTCCCAGGCCAGGAGTCTGTAATTCAGTAGTTGTCGTTTGTTGCTATATATCATAATTGTTTTCCGTTTATTGTTTTGTACACAAATCAGGCCGTTAATTTTCTTGTTTGAAATGTTTAAAATTTGCCATTTCGGTGCCTTTTATAGCTTATTGCACGGTATGGGTTTTGCTCATTTTTGAAGGCCGTACGGTGATCTATAGTTGTTAACTTCTACGTCATTTGGTCTCTGGTGGAAAATTGTCTCATTGGCAATCAGATAGGGCAATAGACCTTTGTGAATTATGTTTTTATGCCCCACCTACGATAGTAGAGGGACATTATGTTTTTTCGGTCTGTGCGTCCGTCCGTTCGTCCGTCCGTCCGTCCGTTCGTCCGTCCGTCCGTCCGTCTGTTCGTCCGTCTGTCCCGCTTCAGGTTAAAGTTTTTGGTCAAGGTAGTTTTTGATGAAGTTGAAGTCCAATCAACTTGAAACTTAGTACACATGTTCCCTATGATATGATCTTTTTAATTATTATGCCAAATTAGAGTTTTGACCCCAATTTCACGGTCCACTGAACATAGAAATTATAGTGCGAGTGGGGCATCCGTGTACTATGGACATATTCTTGTTTAAATCTATATCTATATTAACTTGAAAGATCTTTGGTATTACAGTTGTAGACTATCAAGGTTTATGAATTAAAAACATGCCGACAGAATTTTCAAAATGATTCCCATTTGCCAATGATGTGTTCTGACTGACTAAAGTTGAAATTCCTTTTTTAACATTGAAACCAATGTGAATATGAAGATGCGAAACTGTTCCCTAGCATTAGGACAACAAATTGTCTAAACCCCAAACAGGATTCATTATAAAAAATTATTGTCAATCATTCCAATGAAAATATTTCTCCCGACCTCCAAGATTATAAAAAACGTACAATGAAAATATAGCCTCAAAAGCAAAATGAATAATAAAAAGCGTGAACGCCAATATAATCCAACCCCCTTCAAATATATCATTTGGTCTCTGGTGGAAAATTGTCTCATTGGCAATCATACTACATCTTCTTATCTTAATATATATATATATATATACTATTCTTTTGTTACTGTCTCTTTGACGTTTACGCATGCCTATTCTTATTCCTATTGATAGCATTGGTACTATATCTCTGGAAGTATGAAATCAGTATTTACAGTGTCGTGAGAGTTTTACATATGGATCGTGGTGTATATAATAATCATTATTTTATTGTTAATAGTGATACCACAGGAAATAATTACACAATAGATAATACATTACTTTATTTACAAAAATCATAGCTTACCACGTCTTTGTAATTCGGTTCACCTTCACATTTGTTGTAGAAAAGTAGCAGCCTTGTTTTCATATCTTCTATTTCGTCAAGACCGACTAAATCTATGCCCATTGTGTCAGCAATTTCAAAAATATCCCCATAGTCGTCTGCCTGCTCAATACTCTCGCGCGAAATAGCTAATGTCTGCGCTCTCTCTGGTCCAGGTCTGTAAGTTTTCGTAGTATCGTCCAGCGCCAAATCCATTTTCCTTTTAAGTTTACCTAAAGGAAATAAAGAAATTCCATATACATACTAAACATCCATCTTCATTTGTATGACGACATTTTTAAAGTTCCGGGTATCGTCAAGTTGTGTGTATAGAATATTTAAATCTTTATGCATGGTGGTTCACAAAAGGGTTGGTTTTGAATTTCAAGTTGGTATTGTTGACAATTATATTATGCAAATATACCATAGTAGTTCATTATTTGAAGACACATACGAAGTTTAATGAATATACACACCTAAATACATTTTGATCACTTCCTATTAAAATGAATATCTTTTACGAAAATCATTGCTTTATTTCATTTCAAGGTTAAAGTAACTTAATTACTGCACATTTTTTATTACGAAGTTTATTTTAAACAAAATTATTTAAATGACTGCTACACATGATATCTTAGAATATGATAACGTTGTCTCGCCTTTAAAATGGGTCGATTTCGTCCATATAAACGACGAATAAAGTAAAGAGATCTGTATAGATTTGGCGAGTGTTTGTGTTATAACATGTATTTGTTTAGATGGTTCAGAATTTAAAATGTTCCATGCATTGTATGAGGCATATAAGGCGATTAAAATCAATTGCAACAAATAATTTTTTAAAAAGAAAAAATATCTATGGATTCATGTGTGTCTAGTCTTCCGATATCCTTCAAACATATGACAATAGGAAATGTTCAGTCTTTATGTACAGATGGCCAATTCTTCCATTTGGGAGAATGAATCTCTAAATTAAGGATTTTTAAAAACATTATTTGATTACAATTTGTTGTTTGAAAACTGCATATTATTGTAAAATTAGCTCTAATTAGTTTTCAAAATTTACAGTGCAAAAGACTACCTTGTTTATTTATAGCTCTAAATCCTGATTGAATAAGACATACCTTTATAAGTAAATAGTTTTGAAAATAGGATGGCAAATATTCCGAGAAGGCTCTCAGTGATACAGCTGTTGGTAACGATTCTATCGATCCTAGATATAAAATTCAGTAATTCATGTCTTAGTTATGGCATAAAGTTTAAAACTGAATGACATAATAATACATTCCTAAAATCGACAGCCTAAGACCACTGACAACAAAGAAAACAAAACGAAATCAATGATTGAAAAAATTCCTGACTTTCTTCAAACAATATCTTTGAGATGAGTAAAAAAAGGTTTTATGGCGCATAACTTCTCACTTCTATACGCTGACGGAAAATTTACGAGACAAAACCAAACAAAGCATACCCAGATTACAGGTGATGGAGAATATACGAGGCGTAATGAGCCCAACACAACCAACCACTCATATCAATAAACCCTCATTAAATTAGACGATTGTCGTTTTTATTCCCTTATTTTCCTGACGCTTTTATCAATGTCTGTTCACACTTGAAAGTCATGGCATGCAGCTAAATGTATTGGTACATCAATACATACGAACATTAGCACGAATCTAGCGCTTTTGTCAAGTCATCAAAGATACTTGACTTATAATTTAGATTCAAATGCACTTCTGTTTGGAGACGAAGACGCGTGTTTTGTCTACAAGACTCACAGTGACGCTCTAATTAAAATAGTTAGAAGGTGATATTAATTATTGAATTGCCAAAAAGTTGTGCAAATTTTGTAACAGTAAAATGTAGAGAAGTTATGCATTGTACATCATGTAAAAAATATGAATACCCAAACACTTATGGGGTTAGTATATTCATCTGGATATCTCTCAGCTACATGGTTTTGTATTTTTTGGACGTTTCCCAGAATTAAAATGTCATAACACTTTATTTGAACAGACGATTTATCTGTAACAAGTAAGTCTCAGGTGTTTTCAAAGCGTTTGTGTCCTTTTCTTCTAATGTATCAAGCCTCAAGGGAGATTGCATGGGGAATAGAAATATGGTCACTTTGGTCTTCTTCCGATTGGAAGTAAAACCCTTGTCAAAGTGGGCATTCGTTTGACTGTTCGGGATGCACAAGTACGCAGTCACGTCCGGTTCGAATCCGGACGTTAAATCTGATGCCTCGTGTAGAGAAAATACCACGCTCTCTGCATGCTAAAAACACTTACAATAACTCTTTGAGGGATCCGTAGGTGGCCTATTACAAGGCAAAATTTCTTACCCTATCACATATACCCTCATTTTCTAGTGGCAGTAAATTTCCTCGACCTTCATCCAGGACGGTCTCAATTGCAGTGTCTACCTTTTGTATTTATTGTTTATTTTACCTAGACCTGAACATGCATGAAATATTAGATACTGGATGGTAAGCAAGCAATAATCAATCAATCTGATGTATCATGAACATTCTGATGATACTAGAAGATAAACCTAAAACGAACAGATTCATTCTAAATCAAGAAATGATTTGATACCATAATTATATGTATTTACCTTGCAAGAAATTATCCAATCCAAATAGAATGCCTTATTCCATGATATTGTCACATTCAACGGATAGGCCTACATAAAGTAAAGCATATCAACGGATAGGCCTACATAAAGAAAAGCATATCCAACCTATCAGTGTATTAACGAATGCTACAATGGATTGCATGCTTTCTTACAATTGACTAACAAACTGTAGTGCCAAGCATGCACAACGTTAAGCTTATGTTGATACAAAACAAACGGTCCTTTGTCAATAAAGTATTATTTAGTATTTCTCTCAAATTTATGTCATTTTTTAATTTTTGTTTAATTTTAATTTTATTTTCTCGTTTAACAGATGATTGAAACAGATGCCAACATCGTGAATATTAAGGACAGACTAACAATCATAGCTAACGCGGGCAGGTACAGTAAGTTAATACTTTACATTTAATAATCACAGCTAACGCGAGGCAGGTACAGTAAGTTAATTAATACCTTACATTTAAAATACCTAATGTATTTGAACGTCTCGTTTTATTTTGCAACAAAATACATTATAAATCATGCTCAATAATATGTAAAAACTTATGCTGGACATATTTATGTTGAAAAAGAGACTCCTATGTTCATCTGTCCGTTCTTTCACCGATTTGTCCACACGTCTTTCAAGCTTTCCCGTTTGAATGGTTTTACACTAGTAATTTTTGGGGCCCTTTATAGCTTACTGTTCGGTGTGAGCCAAGGCTCCGTGTTGAAGACCTATAATGGTTTACTTTTATAAATCTTGACTTGGATGGAGAGTTGTCTCATTGGTACTCATACCACATCTTCTTATATCTATTTGAATTCTGGATGTTAATTGAAGTAAGAAGGGATCAATTCTTTCATATTTTTTTCACAATTATATGTACTACAATAAATTTTTAGGGATAAAAGAGAGGCGAAAAATATCAAAGGGACAGTCAAACTCATAAGTCGAAAATAAACTGACAACGCCATGACAAAAAAAGAAAAGACTAAAAGAAAAGCAACAGAATACAACATAGAAAACTGAGATTGAGCAACACGAACCCCATCAAAAACGGGGGTAATCTCAGGTGCTCCCGGAAGGGTAAACAAATCCTGCTCCACATGTGGCACTCGTCGTGTTGCACATGTAAGTGCAAACCCCGTTATAAGTCTAATTCGGTAGGTTACATTCGGGAAAAAGGAGGACGGGATTGTGGTTACAACGATTTGAACATACCCGTCGTCATCTGTTAAGATATATGCATCTACACATTACACAGACGCTTGAGGCCTTGACCTTCTTTTTCTGTGTTACAGATATTTGCAATAAAATCTGTCTTTGAAATCCGCTTTATTTAATATATTTTGCCTGACTAACACAATATTGTAATGATAGCAGTTTGTATATGTCGCATTTCTACTTGATGTATGCATAAACAAGTTCACAGGTTTTTGTACCGATACCATTTAAAGATATAAAACGGAAAAGTGTTAAATAGTACCGAAAAGAAGGCAAAAAATTTGGCTCAGAAAACATCTTGGATAGTTTTGGGATATTTTTCAGCTGATTTCAAATGTTCCGGAATGGTTCTGAATCAATCCTTGGCAGATGGGTGGTGTTTTAAAATACACGACGTCCTTTTATTTTATTTATATCTTTGCATTCTAACAACTTCTTCCAAGAGGTACTCTCCGATTTCCGAAAAGTTTTCTTCGTTGCATGCCTGGTGTTTATAACCTCTTCTATTCATGCGACTTTTGAGTTGTCGAAGTAGTTTTGTTGTTGTTGGATTTATATTGGAACATACTTGTCTAAATCTAAGCGATTGAATCTACTTTAAATACAAGGAGCGGGGTGATCGGAAGGGACTTTTGGGGAACAGGTATTAATGATTGGTATCATCAATTGAGTAAAGTCTGTGGGTTTGAGATCTAAGTGTGTCAGGGTATAGTAATTTTGGATTAAGATATGTCTTATATAAATGTAATGCTGTGATTTATGTTATTAGCATAGGTGATAAATTTATCTAGCTCTTCTGCACATTTATTCCATATCATTTATTCACACGTCATTTATGAATTTAAACCGGGAAAGCGCTTTTCAATCGAAGCTTCAAGGCGTCGATATTCTGAATTACCGATAATAATGTTTATTTTGTTAAGTGACATGCCGACTATAAATAAAGCTTTGAATGCTTGCAAAAGATTGAGCTAATTTTTTAATGATTGTCGTCCGATGAATTTGTAACTATAGTAATCTCAATTAAAAGAAGTTGTTGTTCTTCGGTACCATGGTAATAATTTGAAGAATGGCATTCACCTTTATAGATAACAGTAAGTGATGATTAAATTTAAAAATAGTGCTTTCATTTTTAGAAGTAATATATTTATATATATATGATGCATACGTATTTCAGTTGACGCTCCATAGAGTTTCTTGATAGGACGAATTTATTGTTCAGGAAAAACACATCATGGGCACGGAAAAATACCAGAGCTAATTTGATACACCACATCCGCATTTCTAAAGTCGTTTCTAATAAATGGTAGAAATTGGAAATAAGCAAACGTTGAACACCAATAGCACAGGAGTATATGTCCATCCGTATATAGAGATAATTCAGCGTACACTGATTATACAATGCTGATATTTGAATGCAATTTTATTGAATGCTCCTATTTCCTCCAATCGATCCTTCCATTTACCATAGTTGACTAACTGTTGTCAACTGAAGAAAGACTTGTGTCAAACGAGGTGTCATGTGGGATACAATATGCCCTTAACCTTCTGTAGTGTCTGGTGTATCTCAGTTTTTGATGGGAGTTCACAATTTGACAAGCCTAAAGTGATATGGCTTTTGTTGTACACAAAGTGTCTATGTACATCCATGTATATTTTCCAGTATACTAAATATAATTTACAACTGTTTTACTATCATAAAAGGGACAGTTCCTTGGATTTAAAAAAAAACAAACATTGGTCGGTTGTTTAGTCCCTTGTAAAAACATCCTAGAGTTAACAATTTTCGACGTCAAACGAGAATTCGGGCAATAAAATTTTCAGAGCGCACGACACACGTTTCTCGAATAACCTTTCTCATGACCGTTCGAGACCGAAGGTTTCTGAATGTGCAACATTAAATCTCGATACAATTCAATAATCGATCGTCAAGCTGACATCATAAGTAGGTTTGGCATTTGTTATAGTATTTTGTCTGTATCTAAACACGTGGAAAAATTAAAACAATGCTATTTAGCCTACCTTATATATATATACTAGGATACATTTAAACGTGATACAGACCAATTGCGTGATCATTATAACTATGCATGAGCGGAAATTGAATTCAGCCCAAAAAGCTGTATACAATAATTGAATGAATTTTCGTCTGACCAACTTTACTATATTAAGAAACTAAAAACCACTCATTTTATAGCTGTTTAAATATATTTCTTGGAAACTTTTTATTGTGACGTCGACAAAAAATACCATCTGGCTTAAAATAGAGAAATTATATTTAGAGGTGTGTCCATGGCATGATATGTAATGCTTTTGATTTCAAATATGATAGAGATGAAGAATGTTAGATGAATGATCTTATATGACAGAAATGAAAGTAGATCATCTTGCTTTATCAAAAAGAAGTCAAAATTTCCTCTAGGTTTAAGTTATTAGGTTACCCACATCTTTTCCGATGGTATACACTAGACATATATATTTGACTATATAATTAAAAGTATCTGAAAGCATGGCGTGAATTTCGGTACATGTATATACCGTGAAGCACTATTTACCAGGAAACAAATAAAATGATATGTGATGTTTCATCAAGAAATACTACGATCAACAATGTAAACGATGTCGTGGAAACCTGATTGTGGGTAGCTGACCATCGGAAAGTGTCAAAGGTCCATAACTATAATGCCAAAGAAGAAATACTGCTTTGCTAAGATTATGTACCCTGTTTGCTCATGGTAGAATTTAACAAATAAAATAAAAATCAACAAAGGATAAACTGATCTTAAAACACCTGGGAAAGAAATCGCAAAATGCTTTTAATCGGATGCGTTTATAACTTTTTACCTTCAACGATAAAACACACTATATATGAAACCGAATGTGCAATATTCTTTATTGAAATTTAACAAGAAAGAGATTTCGTGTCGGATCTGTTTATTTGATCTAAATTTCCAGCGTCCAATGAAGACTGCCTTCAAAGAACACATTTTTATCGTATAAACCCTGGAAAGAACACATTTTCTATAAATAATATTAAGTATTCACTCCAAGACATATTCAGCCTAAAATCCATGTTTTGATGATAGTTCGTTTTGACTAATTGAAATAAAGAAATAAAAAAACTCCATAATAGTATTCTCTTCTTAAAAAAAGAAGAAGGTAAAAATGGTTCAAAGGGCGAGATAACATAACTTGAAGACATGTGTCATCTCCCTTTCAAATAGGGATCACCTTGCAATACCATATTTAGAATTCATTTCACTCGCAGTGTCAAAATCCAAAATTGTTAAAACCTACTGAAATTTGAATATTAAAAAGGGGAAATACTTCACATTAAATTTCTAATATCAACTTTACACATATTGATGAAATAAAGAGTTGTTCCGCACTTCACCTTGTTGTTGAAGACATCTTTGATACACACTTGCAGTTTTTACACGTGTATGTGTTCTAGTGTGGAATTTCTTCAGAGGAAATTGGTACTACATCCTTTTTGTTTGGTGTTTACAATAAAGCAATGCAATTTTAATAGGTTCCGAAATTTGTTGACATTGTAATGTCTCTGAACAAGTCCCTACCCCAATCCATGTTTTTCTTCCTTTTTGGGGCCGGTACCTTATTTAGTTTTAAAAAGAGGGCCGATCTAAACTTAACACATATTAAACCTTTGGTAATAAAACGTGCATATCAATTTATTACGAACTTCAAGATTAAAAGCGAGGGCAGCCGAAACCGGTCGAAGTATCCAGAATTTGTATTTTAAAGTACTACGGGATTGGCAATGAACTATTTATAACCGATGCTATGTTTAGAAAATTGTATTTTTTATGATTCAGTGATAGTGTGATTAGATTGTAAAAATGCTTAACATAATACATGTTAACAAAACTAGAAGCTGTCTAGCATATGCCTTTTTGTATCT